CTCATTCCACCAGGCAGGGGCCAAGGCTGAAAAGGCCCTGGCCCTGGTCGAGGCTGGCTGGACATCCCTGGGGCCGGGAACCACTAACAGATGTTGATTTGTGGACCTCAGGACCTCAGGGGCTCATATAGGGAGAGGGGGTCTCGTAGGTATTCTGGCCCCTGGCCATATAGGGCTTTAGGTAATGGTAAAGGTTTCCCTTGCTCAAAAGCCAGTCAAATCCGACTCTAGGGTTGCAGTGCTCATCTCTGTTTCCAAGCCGAAGAGCCAGCGCTGTCCAAAGACGTTTCTGTGGTCATGTGGCTGGCATGACTAGATGTCGAGGTGCACGGAATGCTGTTACCTTCCCACCGAGGGGTACCTATTTATCTACTTGCAATTTTTTGCTTTCGAACTGCTAGGTTGGCAGGAGCTGGGGCCAGAGACGGGAGCTCACTCTGTCATGCGGCACACTCGGGTCTCGAACGGCTGAACGAACAACCTTCCGATCTGCAGTTCAGTGTCTTAACCGCTTGTGCCACCGCAGCTCATATATAGGGCTTTATTGGTTTGCTAATAATATTTATTTGTCTAAGAGAGAGAGAGAAAAACAGAGAGGTGGAAAGAATGAAAGAGGTGGAAAGAAAGACAGAGAGAAACAAAGCAAGTAGATAGATGGGGGGGGGGAGGGAGAAAAGGCATGCCTTCCCTTCGCTTCCGTAGCTGCCCTGCTGGGAGCCGCACAAGATGTGTGAACGAGCTGCATGTGGCTCCCGAGCCACAGTTTGGCCACCCCTGGTGTAGACAGTACTGAGCTTGATGGATCCATGGTCTGGTTTGGTCTAAGGCAAGCTTAATCTGCTAATCTGCCCTGCACGAGTTTGAGGGAGCAAACTGGTTTGTGCTCTTTTGCCAACAGCTAATTTGGCGGCCACAGACATCATCTTCTTGGTCTGCTGCGTCCCCTTCACCGCTGTGCTTTATCCACTCCCGGGGTGGATTTTTGGAGAGTTCATGTGTAAGTTTGTCAACTACATCCAACAGGTGAGTCCCTGACTCTTTGAGGCTGATGTTTCATGCGCTGGTTTTCCCACTGGAAATGAAGCAACGTCAGAGCCACATTCCAAATAGATCTGGCCATCTCTCATCTCTTCAAAACTGGTTTTAAACAAGTGAGTTGCTGTTCTGGGCTCAGACGGGAGCCAGGCCAGAACAGGGAGTCACGCAGAGACACAGAAGGCTTCATGCCGGGACACCACAGGGTTCTCTTAAGACCTGCGCGGTTTTCTCATGGCACGCTGGTGCAAAACAGTTTGGGAGCGAGTGGTGTATAAATGGTGGCAGGTTGGCGCTGTGTTGGGGGTGAAGGCCGCTGATGTCACAGAGAAGCTTGCTTCTTTTTGAGCTCTCATATTGTCGGCTGCCGTCTGTCACAGGCTGGGTTTCCAGTCCAAAGGGAGTCCAGAATAAGCCAAGGTCAGGAGCCAAGAAGACAGTGCAAAGTCCAAAAAGCCAAGCCGGGGTCAGGAGCCAGGAACACAGAACCAAGTCCAAAGCCAGGGGCTCCAAAGGTCTAGGTGCAAGAGCCAAGCCGGAGTGGATGCTAGCAGCACAAAGCTGACGTTGCTTCCGTGAAGAGTACTGCACAGAGTGTGGAGTTAAATGCTGCTACCAATTAGCCAGCTGCACGATCGGCCAGGCTCCTGCTAGAACTCTGGGCTGGCTGAGCGTCTCCCTTGTAGCCTGGCCTCTCTTCGCCTGCTTGCTACGTTTTGCCGCAGTCACTCCCTTAAACGAGTCACACATGGGGGTGAGTCAGGAGGACTTTCAGCTTGCAGTTCTTCCTTCTTATCTGGGCCAGGTGTGAAGACTGCTCTTACAGGCACTTGCCAGCTACCCTCCTCTGCTGCTTCAGAGGGGCCAGCTGCGGTTTCTGCAGGCTCTGTCAGCACATCCTCATCCATGTCCATGACACCATCCTGCGTTGAATTTGGAAGTGCATTGCCACACTAATGCCTCGGTTTACCTACTTAAGTGGGGCAAAAAGGCCAGGAAAGAAAGAAACCAGCTGGGAGCAGCTGGTGCCCCCAAATGAAAAAGGTTACCGCAATGGAATAAAATATTTTAATAAATGAACGAATACAGAAGCAAAGAGAAATGATCTGCACAGGGCCTCTCGGCCTCTCTTTCCTGTACAGGTTCTCCTGGGCAAAACATTTCTGGGCCAGCAGATGGACCAACGGTTTGGCAGAGAAACTGAGACTCGGGAGTTTCCATGGCTGGGTCCTTTTTCCTGGCACCCACCCAGGGCTTTTAGAAAGTGGGAGGGGCTAGAGGGGCTGTCTGTCCAGCAGGGCTGCTGATTGGCTGCAGGTCAAAAGGAATCCTGTTAAACGGAGCCTCTGCTTGAAATGTCAGAGAGTTACTGTTGGTTTTATATATAAAACCACTCCGTGACATTTTGTGGTGGCCACCTCCCTGGGCAGCTGTTTTGCGATTGGCCCCACCTCCCATAGCAGCCATTCTGTAATTGCGTCCACCACCCTCCGACAGAATTCCAAAGGTGTCCGAGGGCTCAAAAAGACGGGGAAACCCCCTGCTCCAGGGCATGAGCTTGGCCTTCCGTGGGGTGGGGGGAGTCTCTAATCCGGCTCTGATTTCGCGGAATGTGAATTTTTGTGTGTGTGTGTGTGTGTTGTGCCTACACAGCTGTACAAGGTGGGGGGGGAGGTAGAAAGGCAGGCAGAGCCGTCCGCACCCCTGCATCTCTAAAGTGGATTCAGGCCAAGGTCACTGCTTCTGGCTACCTGCTGTGTTTCCCCCAGCAACCAGGAGAGAACACAAGCGGGTTTGGAAGTTCTCCCCCTGCCCTCTGTCCGCAGAACACCTGGTTTCCGAAGACAAACTGCCTCTAGCCATGGAAATTCTATCACCCCAACCAGCATTCCCTCTAAGCTGTGGAATCTTGTGAGCAAAAATTCAAATTTGTGAGGTACTGGCATCAAAGTTGTGAGCAAGCAATTTGGCGACTGCATAAATTGGTTTTACTCTGGAGCCCTCCTTCCTGAGCGGAGACAAAAATGTGTGAGCTGGAGGCTAAAAGACTGTGAGCTAGCTCACACTAACTCAGCTTAGAGGGAACACTGACCCCAGCCCTACCTATCAGATAAGTCTGTCACCAAAGCAGAAGCGGATGGACAACAGATCGCATCCATGGCCACAGGGATTCAGAGATACATGGCCTCTGAATATGGATGTTATGACACCTAATGGTCCCTTTGGATGCTGTCGGGAAAGACCTGTTGGTGGGATTTCTGCCTGTGGTTCCCAACCTTTTTGGTATGGTGACCCACGAGTCCAGATCTACTTTGTACGGTGACCCATCCAGGTTTCTGGGTGCCCTCGGCAAACCAAGACCTTGGCCCCCATCTAGTCCAGCATTCCATTTCCTATAGTGCCCAACTGGATATTTTTGAGAAACCGTCACACAAAAGGAGCAGCTGCCCCCACTAGGAACTTCAAGGAAGTTGGAGTTCATAAGAACATCAGAGAAGCCATGTTGGACCAGGCCAATGGTATATCCAGCCCAACACTCTGTGTCACACAGTGGCCAAAACCCAAGTGCCATCAGGAGGTCCACCAGCAGGGCCAGAACCCCAGAAGCCCTCCCACTCTTGCCCCCCAAGCACCAAGAAGACAGAGCATCACTGCCCCAGACATAAGAACAGAAGAGAAGCCATGTTGGATCAGACCAAAGGCCCATCCAGCCCAACACTCTGAGTCACACAGTGGCCAAAACCCAGGTGCCATCAGGAGGTCCACCAGCAGGGCCAGAACCCCAGAAGCCCTCCCACTCTTGCCCCCCAAGCACCAAGAAGACAGAGCATCACTGCCCCAGACATAAGAACAGAAGAGAAGCCATGTTGGATCAGACCAAAGGCCCATCCAGCCCAACACTCTGAGTCACACAGTGGCCAAAACCCAGGTGCCATCAGGAGGTCCACCAGCAGGGCCAGAACCCCAGAAGCCCTCCCACTCTTGCCCCCCAAGCACCAAGAAGACAGAGCATCACTGCCCCAGGCAGAGTGTTCCATCTATACCCTGTGGCTAATAGCTCCATATGTTTATCCATGTTCATTTAGTCTGGTGTAGTGGTTAAGTGTGCAGACTCTCATCTGGGAGAACCGAGTTTGATTCCCTGCTCCTCCACATGCAGCTGCTGGGTGACCTTGGGTCAGCCACAGTTCTCGCAGAACTGTTCTCTCAGGAGCAGTTCTCTGAGAGCTCTCTCGGCCCTACCTACTTCGCAGGGTGTCTGTTGTGGGGAGAGGAAGGGAAGGAGATTGTAAGCTGCTCTGAGACTCCTTCAGGTAGTGAAGAGTGGGGAATAAAACCACCACCACCACCTCCTCCTCCTCCTCCTCCTCTGCTAGCTATGCTAGAGCCAGAGTTTGAGGAGGGGTGTTTGGGGGCACTGGGTTGAGGAGAGATGCAAAGATGGTAGATGGCAGTGAAGAGGGTGGGGTCAAGGGGCCCTCAGGTAGAGGGCAGTGAGGCTGCTGAAGGAACCTCTTTCACTCACCCTCTGGTTTCCCCATAGGATGCTGAACAGTTCCCACCTATCCTCCAACCCTTCCCTTCCTCCTTTCAGCTACTACAGTGAAGTTATGAGTTGCCAGATGGCTTCCTCCCCCCCCCCCCCATTATGATCACAAAGAGGGAAGGGAAGATATGCAGGTAAGAAGCTGGCGAGGAGGAAAGAAAGAGAAGGATGCAGAGGGCAGGAGATGCCATAATGGAGGGCTGGCCTGCAACCCCCTTTTAGGTCCCGGCCAATGCACCCTCTAAGCTGTGGAGTCCTGTGAGCAAAAAATCTACTTGGAGAGCTACCGGCAGGGGTCATTTCCTGCAGGAGCCCTGCAGGAGCCCAGGGGGTGGGTACATGCAATAAGCCCCACCCCCTGCTCCCAGCAGCCCTGAGTCAGAGCAAGAAGCAGTCACGTAAGCTGCAGAGTCCCCCACCCCACCCCCGGTCCAAAACAGTCCAGTGGCACCTTTAAGACCAAGTTTTATTCAGGTGCAAGCTCTCCCTCCTGTGTGAGGACAGACCTGCCCATGTCCCCCCCCCCCAATAGCTAGCAATCCAAAACAGTCCAGTGGAGCGGTGGGTGTTGCCTTCTGACACACTTCCAGTGATATCAGGGGGTGTGGCATATGCAAATACGTTATGCTAATGAGTTATGCTAATGAGCTCCTGCACCTCTTTTTCTAAGAAATGACCCCTGGTTACTGGCATTAAAGTTGTGACTGGGCAATTTGGCTACTGCATACACTAGTTTGCTCTGGAGCCCTCCTTCCTGTGCGAAGACAAAAATGTGTGAGCCGGAGGCTAAGAAACTGTGAGCTAGCGCACACGAACTCAGGCTAGAGGGAACAGTGGTCCCGGCCCACAGGTCGGGAAACACTGGTTCAAGGCACACAGAACGTTCTGACCTCGATGGCCCAGGCGAGCCTGATCTGATCAGATCTCAGAAGCGAAGCAGGGTCAGCTCTGGTGAGTGCTTGGAGGGGAGACCACCAAGGAAGTCCAGGGATGCTACTCACCGTGAGTCAGCTCTGATTTGTTGGCAAAAGAGGGGGGGCACAGAATGATCCTGTTCTATACAGATAGATCAAGATGGGTGGCCGTGTCAGTCTGTCTGTAGCAGGAGAAAAGAGCAAGAGTCCAGGAGGCCCTCAAAGACTAACAGTACATGCAGCAGGGGATGAGCTTTTGGCCATCCAATGAGAAGGGAGCACTCCCTGGAGAAGACCCTGATGCTGGGAAAGACTGAAGGTCATGCATATGCCACACCCCCTGACATCACCGTAAGTGTGTCAGAAGGCAACACCCACCACTCAGGCTCCACTGGACTCTTTTGGATTGCTAGCTATTTGGGGGGGGGGAGGAACGTGCAGATCTGCCCCCACAGAGGAGGGAGAGCTTGTACCTGAATAAAACTTGGTCTTAAAGGTTCCACTGGACTGTTTTAGACTGGGGGGCCAGGGGGAGCTTTGCAACTTACCTGGCTGCTTCTTACTCTGACTGAGGGCTGCTGGGAGCAGGGGGTGGGGCTTGTTGCATGTGCCCGCCCCCTGGGCTCTTTACTGCCGGAGCTCCGCTCCTGTGCACTCCTGCAGGAAATGACCCCTGGATATGGCGGTATCTGAAGACGTGAGCAGAGACTCACGAACGCTCATCCCCTGCCACATATTTTGTCCATCTTTAAGGGGGTTCCTGGACTCTCGCTCTTTTCTCCTGTTCTCTACAGATCCTCCGGAACTTGCACAGGGCACGTGGTTTTTCCTTTCCTTTTTTGACAGCTGGGCCCTTGCCCACCACATTTATGGGCCCAGCCTCATTCCGTCTTTTGGTCCTCCCAGGTTTCAGTGCAAGCCACCTGCGCCACCCTGACAGCCATGAGCATCGACCGGTGGTATGTGACCGTGTTCCCTCTTCGATCCCTGCGCCAGCGCACTCCTCACGTGGCAAGGGCCGTAAGCATCAGCATCTGGGTTGGTGAGTAAAGGGAGGCGGACACTCACAGCCATGGACAAGCCCGGCTTTGGGGGTTCTCTGCTGGTTTGGGGGTCAGCTGTCCTTCTTTGAAGCTTCACTCTGAACCCTAACCTAGTACCTGCTGGATCAGACCAAAGAGAGGTCCATCCAACTTTCACAACAGGGAATGGTTGCTGAAGGGAGACATTGTCGGGTAGGAAGGCGGTAGGCCGCTCCTGTTGCTTATCCTCAGCATCTGGTATTTCTGAGATAGACTGCCTCTGAAGAGGAATTTTCCATTTAACTGCCATGGCTATGATATCCATTTTTAAATTTATTTTTATTTCTATTTTATTAGATTTATACCCCACCCTACCCGGCCGAGACAGGCTCGGGGTAGCTGAGTAGGATTTAAACCTTTCTTGAAATGCTTTATTAAAAATTCAACGTTTTACACGTTATAAAAACAAGCCGCTTCAAAGGAAAATGGAATAACTCAAAGGGTCCGATAAACAGAGATATTACAATAAATACTAAAATTCGAACGCAATATATATTCAAAACCGTAAGTTCACAAGATCTTTATAATCTTGCCATTCTTCAAACACCTGTAAACATAGTTTTCATCATTTAAGATACAAGCATATCTCTATACCAGGGTTCGGAAGGTAAAATATCTTTTTTGGACAGAAATCGTAGCATAGAATACCAAACGCTGATAAAATCATGATCCCATCGTTTGCTATGATAGCCACCGATGGAACTTTCCTTTGCAAATGAAGCCCTAGAAGGAAGGGGTGTTCTCCGCATCTTGTGTCAGGGAGTTCCACAGTTTGGTGTAGTAGTTATGTGCGCAGATTCTAATCTGGGAGAACCAGGTTTCATTCCCCATTTGTAGTGGCTGGATGACCTTGGGCAAGCCATAGTTCTGTCAGAGCTGTTCTCTCAGCCCCCACCTACCTCACAGGGTGTCTGTTGTGGGGAGGGGAAGGGAACGGAGATTGTAGGCTGCTCTGAAATGCAATCTCCTCCTCCTCCTCCTCCTCCTCTTCTTCATCTTCTTCATCTTCTTCATCTTCTTCATCTTCTTCTTCTTCTTCTTCTTCTTCTTCTTCTTCTTCTTCTTCTTGTCGTCGTCATTGTGTGGAGATGGTCCTCCGACCGTCCACGCTGTGGATTCCCTGGTGCAGTGATGCTGATCCAGCGGGGCTTCTTATGTTTTTATCCTGGCTCATTTCTCTTTCTCCTGACTCCTTCCACTGTTTGATTTGCTGGCTGGTTGCCAATGTACCTTTTCTCATTATTCTGAAGGAGTTGGGTCGATGGATGGATTAATTTGAAAAATTCTATGCTGCTCTCTAGGTAACCTTCTTGCAGGCTGCTTCTGAAAATAAACATCATCCTAATAAAAGCCAAAACCGTGCAAGTTGTCAACAATTAAAACCCCGACGACAGCGTTAGAAAATCCATCCAGAGCATAAAGACAACCGAAAACACTGAGTGCCTAAAAAGGAGGTCTCCTGAAAGAGTTCCGCCTAGAAGCAGGCTATAGAAATGATGCTGAAAGATCAACCCCTGAATTAAAAACCTGGGTTCAAGACCCGGGTGCCGCATGACGGAGTGAGCTCCCGTCTCTAGTTCCAGCTCCTGCCAACCTAGCAGTTCGAAAGCAAGAAATTGCAAGTAGATAAATAGGTACCACTTCAGTGGGAAGGTAACAGCGTTCCGTGCGCCTTGGTGTTTAGTCATGCCCGCCACATGACCACGGAAACGTCTTCGGACAGCGCTGGCTCTTCGGCTTTGAAACGGAGATGAGCACCACAACCCTAGAGTCGGATTCGACTGGCTTTCGAGCAAGGGAACCTTTACCTTTACCTTTTTACAAAGAACAGAGTAGCCAACCTCCAGGGGGTACCTAGAAACAACAGAGAGATCACAGGAAGGATACAAACAATACTGAAAACAACCGTGATGTTATATTCTGAAAATATATTTCGACTATTATTCTGTAGGGAATCGCATTTCTTCATCACAGTATAAAAATATGCGCATACACACAACGGGAATTGCATATAATACGTTTCACACAACAGCTTTTTCTAAGTGTGCTGCATGAATACCAATAGTCCTCATGAGCGCTGAAAGAATCCGTTTCATTGAAGTGGGAAGAAAGTTGTGTGTTAATTCACAGATTAGAATTGTTGACGTGTAAACTATTGGTATGAAGAAATATGATTCACTACAGAATAGTAGTCTAAATATATTATTTTCATAATATAACATTGCGGTTGTTTATGGTCAACCTCCGGGGGGTGGCTGGAGATCTCATGGGATTACAGTAGATCTCCAGGTGACAGAGATCAGTTCCCCTCGAGAAAATGGCTGCCTTGGAAGGTGGACTCTACGGCATTGTGCCCCGATGAGGTCCCTCTCCTTCCCAAACCCCGCCCTCCTCAGGTTCCGCCCCCCAAATCTCCAGGTATTTCCCAAACCAAAGCTGGGCACCCTAAAAAAGAAACATTTTGGCCTGGCACCTAAAAGTTAGTAAAGTAGGCACCAGGGAAGCCTAAAGGGGGAGGGCATTCTAGAGGCCAGGGGCCATCACAGAAAATGCCCTGTCTGTAGTCTCCACCCACCTCACCTCTACAGGCTAGGGCTGCCAGCCTCCAGGTGGGGCCTGGAGATCTCCTGCTTTTACAACTGATCCCTAGGTGACAAAGATCAGCTCCCTGGGAGAAAATTACAACAAACAAGACCACGGTGTAATGTAACCAGCAAAACAATAAATCACAGTGTGTAAATATACAATACTAGTAAGGAAAGCCCGTCGTGGCGGTAGACGACGGGCCCTAGATAGGAAGGAAGGGCGAGTGGAAGGGAGGAATGGAGAAGAGGAGGTAGAGAGAGAGAGACAGAGGTAGATAGGGTGGAAAGAGAGAAAAGGGGTGGAGACAGAGTGGGGTTAGTGGTAGTAATTTGGAAAGAAAGGAAGGGAGAAAGGAATTCTTATCTTCAATAGAATAAAGTGCTGCAAGCATTATTTCACAATGTAAATTCTTATACAGTTTTTTGTACGTTATCACGTTTAATCTGGTGACTGGGGAGCTCCTACATGCTCTCATGTGACAGAGTCTACAGTATGTGAGGGTAGCTGAGCCATATATACCGACGACAAACCTGAAGAAGGATTCGTAAACGGACTTATACTAGAAATCCGTCGTTTGTCTGAGACTGTAGTGTTTCATATGTACTGCCAAGCCTAAGATCGCATTGTATGATGTTATAGTTGTAATTTTGCTGACAATTGATTTCTAAAAGCATTGTATATAAATATCTGCTTATATTGTATACTAGAAATGATGCCCGTTGCGGAAATAAATACAACGGGATCTAGAAAGAGGCTCTGGGAGAGTGCTCTGGCTTTGGGCAAACAGTGTCAGTTTCCTGTGGCGACCTCAGCAGGGTTTAATGACAGAGTCCACTGTTTTCTCCAGAGGGACTGATCTCTGCTACCTGAAGAGCATTTGTATGTTTGAGTTATCTGTAGCCCTCACCTGGAGAGTGGTAACCATTGTTACCCATTCTCCTCTCCCCTATGAGGTATGTTATGCAACTGAAAATCCCAACTGCCTTGCGGGGGGGGGGAGTTTGAGGTGTGGAATGGACTGAAGTCCAATCAGCTTCCATATGCAAAAGACCAGGTTGTCGCAGCAGTTGTGGTGTGGGCGGGACCCGGGCTTTGCCTTCTGATTGGTGGCGATATATGCTGAGGAGCAGTGCCATCAGCCATACACTAAGGGAGTGCATTTTAGAATTAGAACCTTGGCACCCACTATTCAATTATATATAAGGAGAGATTATATACAATAACGGCAGCTAGGATATTATGGGCAAGATATTGGAAGCAAGATAACACCCCGAAACAAGAAGAAGTGATAGAGAAACTGTTGGAAGTAGCAGAAATAGATAAGCTGAATTTAATGTTACAGAGGAAGAATGAAGAACTCTTTGTAAAGCGATGGGTGGGAATGTATAAGTGGCTAGAAAATGGATAAATGACTCTAAGGTGTATGTATATTGGAGAACTAATGATGTACAAAAACCAATAAATAAAACGTAAAAAAAAAAAAAAAAGAGCATCACCAGCTGATTTCTGTCAAAGGCACAAGAGCAAGTCAGACAGATTGGGTAGGGGATCAGTTGGCAACCCTACCTGTCGTAATTAGAGCTGAGTCCAGGAGCACCTTCGAGACCAACAAGGTTTTCAGGGTATAAACGTTTGAGAGTCAAAGCTCCCTTCATCCACGTGACACCCCGAAACTCATGTTGGTCTCTAAGGTGCTGTTTCATTGCAGGTGGGTAGCCGTGTTGGCCTGAAGCAACAGAACAAAATCTGAGTCCACCGGCACTCACAATGTAAATTCTTATACAGTTTTTTGTACATTATCACGTTTAATCTGGTGACTGGGGAGCTCCTACATGCTCTCATGTGACAGAGTCTACAGTATGTGAGGGTAGCTGAGCCATATATACAGACGACAAACCTGAAGAAGGATTCGTAAACGGACTTATACTAGAAATCCGTCGTTTGTCTGAGACTATACTGTAGTGTTTCATACGTACTGCCAAGCCTAAGATCGCATTGTATGATGTTATAGTTGTAATTTTGCTGACAATTTATTTCTAAAAGCATTATATATAAATATCTGCTTATATTGTATATTTACACACGGTGATTTATTGTTTTGCTGGCCCTGGGAGAAAATGGCTGATTTGAAGGGTGGACTCTATGGCATTGTACCATGCTGAGGCTCCTCCCCTCCCCAAACCCCGCCCTCTCCTGGATCCACCCCCAAAGTCTCCAGGTATTTTCCAACCCAGACTTGGCAAGCCTACTACAGGCGAGGGACACGGATGGCAGGGCTTGGAAACAGGATCTCAGTTGTTGCTCCAGTACAATGTGCTGATGTCAAAGACCGCTGAAATGGCACACGCAATGCAGTTTCAACAACCTCCTCAGC